GACGAGGCAAGTACTACCGCCCCATAGTATACCCTGTAGTATATCAATTAGATTAATAACTTCTAACATATAGAAAAGCTGGTTCCTTTTGGTAACAATGCATTCCAACAATAGCTTTTGTGTCACATAGCTTAGTAACAAAAGTATAACCTAAAATTATTGTTATTAGTCTATGTACTGAAAGTATAAAATGAAATGATTAAATGACAAAACAGGAAAATATTTGTTGATTTCTTAATTTAGAATCTCTGTTGATTAAAGAGGTTTTTTTTTATTAAAATGTTGGTGATATAACAGAAAATAACTTTATACAGAAACGATTTAAGTTTAAAATTGGATCGATATTTTTACTTTTATGATAAATTTTATGCTCTTGGCTAGTTTTTTTACACTATGTCTTTACTTTAGACTTTTTTATTAATTTCTTTAAATCATATCAACATTCACTACACTTGCAAGGTTTCACGGCTCCTTGCACCTCCGTCACTAAAATCGTAATGTATGCCAAAATTAAAACAGAAAGGTTGCAATTCATTTGCATAAACCAAAAGAAGCTCCAAGTTGAAGACTGTCTAGAATACACACATCTAGAATATGTAAACTTGATAACCCGAGCAAAGCTGGGTACTTTTGCTAGTTTTAATATAAAATACCAAGAATATTAGTAGGCCATAAAAATATATTTTAATTTGGAAATTTCATAATTACTTTTGTAAAAGAAATCACTATTTATAGGTTATTTTGTAATACCAAGCAAACCTATGAGACAGCAAGAAATTAGATTGCTGGCTAATTATAAATCACTAGATTCAGCCAAATAAAATTTGTATATATTTTTAAGGAAATTTGTGTAATTAACATACTTGCTAATGCATATTTTTATTAATATTGCTTTGAAATGTAGAGCAGAACTTTATATGTATGTATTGTAGTAGATGGTATTAATGGATTATGAAGTCAAACTTTATAAGTGTGATTTATGGAAATAGTTATACAATACAGACTGACTGTAATAAACATCAGTATGTCTATTCTTATAATAGGCAAAAACGTTATGTATGGGATATCACATGGGTTACCTTGTATGGGTTCAGCATTATTTTTAATCTGAATTAATTTAGACAGTTTTAATCTTTGAAGTGATTATTAAGTTAAGTTCATTTTCATGGAATGTTTATATTGGCATATGTGAAGTGCTTTTGAAGACAAAGGTAAAAAAAAATTCACTGGTTGATGAAGTTTGATTACATTTTAATGGTATTTTTTAAGCAAAATTTAAAAACAGTGGTAACAATGTGAGAATCTGTTTAGCCTTTTTTTAGATTAAAAACTTGATTAACACGTAGATGTACATACGTTTGATAAGTAACATTATTCAGATAAGTATAATGTTATAATTACTGGGAATGTGTGTTGTACAACCCAAGCTTTTCCATTATTACTTTATGGTTTTCTTTAGTTACATTTTTATTAAAATTGATGTTTTTCACCAATGTATCAGGAAAGTGATGCAAATCAAAATTGACTACTTTTAGAACACCCTTTATTATTACATTATACTCAAATTCTGCCAGATTCGAACGAATGCTTACATCATTATTTCATAACATTTTTCACTCTATGGACCAGCAAAATATTTACAGAAAGATTACAGACCAATTAGATATATACAAGTCTGTTGTGTTTATTGTGAATATAAATTCTTCAAGAAACTTTGAAGTAAAAGTTATGAAGTTTACTTATCTTTCAGCGAACTGAGAAGAAAAAAACACATACTTCTGTGTATTTCTAACACATGCACAAATTATGAATTTTACAGAAATGTAATACCTCATGAAACTTTTATTTATTTTTCTCTTTCTTTTCACTGAATGTTTCTGTGGACCATTGGTTGGGAACCACTGTTATAAATAGAGTAAATTCAGAGCTTACCATTCAGCAAACATTAATTCTGTTTTAATAAACCAATCGTGACACCATCCTTATAAAAGCTAAGTTCCTTAGATCAGGATCCAGTCTTATTTATACTGAGAAAAATAATATATTCTGTATATGTTGTGATTGAGGGTATGCAAAGATTCACTGAATTGTTCTTGCTTCTGATGAGAATATTTGTATTGGTAGGGAAACTACAGTTTGATAGCTAAATTCTTTCTGCACTTGGTTCATAGTTTGGGCCTGGAATCAGATTAACTTCCATACAAGTACTTTTACATCATGTTCAAACTGATTGTGCACAAACCCTTTGTCTGTGCTTGGGTAGAGTGTAAGTTCTTTGCTTTTTTTGTGGAGGCTTGTATAATGGCTGAGGAATTTTTTTTTGGTGGCCAACATGCACCAACTTTGCTCCAGCAAACCCCTCACTGGTAGGTCAGTCAGCTGCTGTTCACCTGGTGTGGTTTATACAGCTGTTCACTGCTACTTGATTGACTCACAAATATACTTAATGAAACTCCCTATGGAGCAAGTAATTTGGAAAGAAATTAATAAGCAGCTCATAGCTGTAAGTTTTCAAGTCTGCATAACTGAGTATTTGATCCATTACATATGAGTATAATAAATTTTTTACCAGTTTTCAATCACAATAGTCATCATATGATGTAACATCAGTACAGTGCACTGTTGGTAACAGAGATCTCTTATACATGTTTTACAAACTCTCTACAATAGTCATCATATGATGTAACATCAGTACACTGCACTGTTGGTAATAGAGATCTCTTATACCTGTTTTACAAACTCTCCAAGTTGTTTTTATTTCCAGTAATTCCTAACTTTATCACCCATGAAATTAGAATATAATGATTGAGTACCTTTTGATCCCATTAAGATTACAGGCTGATTTTTGGTACTGACCTGGAGGTTAGTGTGAACTTCAGTATCCAATGTTGATTTTGGTCATCTATGTTGAGAGATGACGGTGGAATAGATAAAGGTCAAAGGTCAAAATTCTGAATATTAGAAATAATGGCATACTTGGCTGGAGCACAGAGAGAGGTTTCTAGCAATAGTTTATTTTTGTTGCAGCATTAAAAATAAAAAAGCTGTTGGTACTTTTATGTCATTGGTTTTGTGTAGAAGCCATTTGGGTTAAATATTTGGTGATCCTTCACATAAAAACAATTTGACCTAGAGACTTAGAACTGGAATGAATCTTGTAACTTTATAACACTGATATACCTGTGAACTACTAATGCATTTGGAAGAGATAAAGTCAGAAACCTTCCTGAAGCAATTGATTTAATAAGGACTGACCATGTTCTCATTGGCACAGCATAGACTTTAGAGAAATTTATAATCAATTAGTTATATAAAAGTAACTTTTTTAATAATTTATTTCAACGAAATGTTTCAATGTATGTAGCCTTTGTTATTTTGAAAACTTGGATGTATTTCTCTATCTTATTTTTTATTTGACAAGTGATAAAGAATGAAGTTTTTAAATCATAAATACAGCTTTTCTTCTTTAAACTGTATCTTTGCAAGTGTTTCAGTGTTTTTTTTTCTAAGCCTTTATAATTGAGTCACTTTATTTCTCTTCCAGAGATAGTGCTATCAGCCAAATGTCAATTTAGTAAACAAGACACCTGTTTAGTATTTATAATGTCACTGTTTAGTTTTCACTGTACCCCTTCTCGTGATTATGTTTTAGCTAATTGTAAAAGTTAAAGTATTAGAAGTGGTAGTAAGTTTGATGTGTAATAAGTATTGCATTGATGTGTGTTTATAGACTTTGTACCAATACTTTAAGGGAGCATTTCCCAAACTTTCCAAATTCACAACCCTCCTAAGTAACCAGATAATTTTCTGCAATTCGTGTTGAAATTGGGAGAGGGAGGTTACTGTTTCAATATATTTCATGAAGAAAGTTTAGTTATTTCTTATTTTGTGTTATGTTTGCTTGGAAACATTTTAGGGTTATTATTTTATAAATAATTAAAAATACAAATATGTTATGTTTCACTGTGTTTTATTGTACGAACCACTCTGATATCTATGGAGACCCACCATTGGTTCACCCACAGTTTGGGAACCAATGCTTTGTAAGGAATCTACTATGGCTGGTTTTTAATGAACATTACAAAACTATTTATCACTAAGAATTTTGATTAGGCTGACACATTTCTTGTCATCAGCTTATACTGAATGTAATTTTATTTTATTATTATTTATGTACACAGTATATTTATCTGTCAACTTAACATGTACAGTAGCAACTGGCAGCGTGTTGTGAAGTATTTTGATGTGCATTTATGAAATACATTATCATCTCAAGTGTTTGCTGGGTTTTTACTTAAGTTTTGATGAACTTATCAGCCTGAAGTTGTTATTAGTTTAGATAAAAGTGGTAGTGCTTTATCGACACAAGTTAAGTAATATAGAGCATCTATCTTGATGTTATGACGGTTAATGTAGAGGTCTTTTAAAGCTTCCATATATGAATAACAAACTAGCATTAAGAAACAGAAAAACAAAACTGCAGTAATTCATTTGTAAAGCTTTTATGTCATACAAATATTTAGTACTTGCTTTTAAGAAGGTAAAAAAAAAAAGTAAATCTGTATGGCAAACTTAGGTAAATACTGGTAAATTTCCATTTAATATTAATGCAAGTACTGTTTAAGTGGTTGCTGGACTGTTCCGAACAGACCTTATTCAGTGTATACCAGTCCACTTAACATGATAGGTTATGTGTATATTGTTGTTTTAGATGCACAGACATATTTAATATATAGCACATGACAGGTAAAAGTATATACATGTATTGCATTGTAATTCAAATGTACAGAACTTGTCTCTTCCCCCCCCCCCCCATATTTGTATAAATATGTGATCCATTCTTGGAATTTCATATATTGATAGCTGAGAAACATTGTTTTAATGTATACTGTTTTTACATTAATTATGTTTCATTTCTATAATATGTGGTCCTTTTTTTTATTTTTAATATGTTTTTGTATGGTCATGTGAAATAAATGTTGTTATCGTTCTGAATTTAGACGTACTCTGGTCTTTTCTGTGTTGTGGTCAATCCATACAAGAAGTTACCAATCTACACAGAGAAAGTAATAGAGTTGTATAAAGGCAAGAAAAGACATGAAGTTCCTCCTCATATTTATGCTGTAACTGATGGAGCTTATAGAAGCATGCTACAAGGTATGATTTTATCCATGTAACAACACATATTTGGAATTTGATTTCTTAGAGTTTATTCCAATTGTTTCTTCAGTTTGCATAAAAACTGAGAATCTTGTAATTTAGATGAGTCTGTAAAAGTTATGAACTTCCTGGAAACTTATCTGCACATATACTTTATTTCACAAAAAATTATTTATAAGATTAAAACAATAAAGATATCAAAATAAAAAACTTCCAAGAATTGTGTTTATTACTAGTCACAAGTAGACTGATGACATAAATGCTGACAGGGTAATCATAATGTACTCATCTCATCTGAAAGACTTGGAGTTTGTTAAATGTTTAATCTGTGATAGATTATATGATAGATAATGAAAAGTTATAATTTTTATGCAGCAATTTTGCGTAAATAATGTCATTTTCTTTGATATAAATATAAAACAGTACATATAAGTTCTTGAAATATTGCAAAGTTATGGTAAAGAAGTTTTAAAAATTTCAGTACCAGAAGTAACGGAGAAACGGCTATTTTGAAGTCATGATCCTGGAAAATTCCTGAAATTCCTGTTTCAATAAAAAATTCCACATAAAAGAATTTAGCTTCATTAAAAAGATTAAAGAAACAGTTTTTCTTTTCAAAATTGAATATTATTATTTAATTTTGGCCATTTTGAATTTCATAAGTTGCAAGACTTAACTGTTACAATTTCCAATGCTGGACATGTTTTATGAAGGAAAATGGCAGAAAAGTTTGTTTAATCTAGTGTGGCAGGATTGTAAAAGCCTGAAAATCTGAGTATGGGTTCTGGAAAATCTTGGAATGTTCTTTTATGAAGTACATGTATATGAACCTTGATAAAACTGGAACATATATTTAAAGATATCTTGCATGTAACACACTACTTTTAACAAGCACACTGAATTATTTTCGAGAAATTCGATCATGTCAAACTAAATACTAGCTCAGAATTATTAAAACCACATCTGTAATCTACACAAATACAAACCAAGGTTGTTATTCTTATTGTCCCAATTTTTATAAATGTTTTCTTAATTGCATCACATTTTTGGTGTGGCATGGACAGGTTCTGTTGACCAATGATAAAGTGGAAGTATTAGCATGCAGAATGCATGTTGTTCTGCATAATGTGAACAGATGGCTTAAGTTTATTTGTGGAGAAACTGATTAATTTGTTAATGTTTGTTCCTTTAAAACATTAGTGGAGACTAAATGTTATTTGTCTTTCATTATATGTCATTGGTTCCAATGAAAAATGGAGACATTTGTTGAGAATTTAAGGCAGTACTAGCTTAAAAGCATTGTCTTTAGTCACTCTAAATCAAAGATTATAGCAATGTTTAAACTAACTACTCCATTTTTAATTGACTGCTTTTGTTTCACATTTAATTAAATCAGTAAAACACTTTACAGTTTACAATTAGTGTTATTCAGGTAAGGTATGGATAATTCCATAGTATAGAATGAATTACATTTAAGCAGTAGTGTCAAATTATGATGAATCTTAATTGTTGTTATACACCTATTTCAGTCTTTCTTTTTTTTTTAATTATTTCTATCAGATAAAAAGCATTGCTGGTTTCATTTAAATTTTTCAGTTTCCTCTTTTCAGTTTAGAGGTAGAAGATAAGTATGAGTACACTATCTCTCCCAGCTCCTGTTAGGGAATATATAAAGAAAAATGTCCTAAATAAAGTATTTCCTTTTATATATTATATATGACAAAAAAAATTTCTTCAGATCTGCATATTTCTTGAATAGGAATTTATCAATGGCAAAATATTTTGTTTGTATTAATATGCCTTCTACTTGAAAAAAAAGAAACATTCTTTTTAATGTGATCATATTTCTATTAAAAACTAAGTATGTCTGGCTACTATTTATAGAGAAAACGTAGTGGTTGTTTTTAATACATTTTATTTCAAATGCTGAAGGGTTATTATTTTCATTTCTGATATGATTGATATCCGATAGTATTGATTTAAATTTAATGATATAGGCAATTTTTCTTTGATCAAAGATATTAACTTTGTTAAATTGTTTTGTTTGTACAAACATGTCTTGTATCTGTTAATATGGGGCTAACATGTTTGTATGCATACATCCTTTTAACAACATAAGAAATGTTTTTACTGTATAAAGCATTTTGGCCTGATCCAGCTACATATTAAAATTATTATAATAGTTATATTTACTTTTTTTTTTACTGCATTAAGCATTTTGGTGTGATCCAGCTACATATTAAGATTATTATAATAGTTATATTTACTTTTTTTTTTTACTGTATAAACCATTTTGGTGTGATCCAGCTACATATTAAGATTATTATAATAGTTATGTTTACTTTTTGTGTTTAATGTATAAAGCATTTTGACCTGATCCAGCTACGTATTAAAATTATTATAATAGTTTTATTAGATATTTTTAATTTCTATTTTATATGTTGGGATATGCATTAATTACATTATCTTAAAAAGCATAATTTAGCCATACTTGTATGATTATTTTATAAACAAGGGCACAAGTCAAGTAAGTGAAATTATGTAGGTTAACTATTATTTGCTAAAAGTGGAAAAAGTGAAATACTGTATTGAAATGAATAATAAAAAACAAGAAAATTTTTAAGTGTAATTCAACTTCTGAACAAAAGGGATGGCTATATTAAGAATAGTATTTTTTTTCAGTTCTAATCTTTCATCAAAACTGAAAGCTAAAGGAAGGTTTTTTATTGTGGGGCAAAATATATGTTTATATATATTAAATCGACAACAACACCTTGGGTACATCCTTCATGTCTTTATAACTGCTGCATCTTTGATAAATTCCTTATGTTCCAAAATGTTTACAATCAGCATACCTTGGGTAAACTTCTCATGCTATGCAATCTTTATAACCAGCATACCTGTGGTAAAGTCCTCATGTTCTGGGATACTTCTACAAAGAATAACTTGGGAAACTTCAAATGTTTTCAGATTTTTACTGTTGACATATCTTGGGTAAACATTTCATTCCTAGATGTTTCTCACCAGTTCCTTTGGTAGACTTTTCATATCCCTGGATCTTTGTAATCGGATTCTTGAAAAGCAAATTAAACATTCAAAATAGACTCGTACGACTCCCACAGTTTCCTCACTCCGAAGTATTCAACCTTATCAGTATAGTTACATGGGAATGTATTTCTAAGTGTACGTGAAGTTATGGTTTTGGTTTTATGTATTGCTACCCCCTACTGACTTTATACTGAAGTCACGATTACATACACGACATTCCCTTCCAACTTCTTCAATCAACCTCAAAATCCACTTGTGGAGATGAACGTCACGATATAATAAACTATCACTGTACTATAGACCTGTTTTACTGATCAAACTAGCAGCTCACTCTAAATAAGTTCATGTCGTGGGTTATTATACAGTCTTAAAATCTCTGTAGGCAGCATTAATTGCCACAAGAAGAACATATCGAGCGTCGAACAGATAAACAGCGTTTCATGTAATTAAACATTCAAGTTCACCGCAGTTTCTAACTTAATTTGATAAAATGGCTAAGCTCGAGCTAGTATCCAGTACGCAGTGCATTAGTACGAGTGGTCTACCTCGGTATAAGCTTCATTTTATATATAAACAAAAATATTGTTTTAATTTGGATATAAATTTGAAAGGAATCCAAGTTAAAATTATTATTAAATTACTGACAGCTTTTATGCGCCCCTAAATAAATGCTTTAGAGTAAATTAAGCGTAACTCGGTAATTAACAAGGTACATTGTCTATTAAGGCATTCTAATGCAGAATATGGTAAAGAAACAGGGAATCTCAAAGTGCACCGTTGAAAGGGTTATGACTCGTATCAAACAGTACCCGTTTCACTGTTGAGTACCTACATTACGTTTTATGTAAGATCATGAAATGAGGTGAAATCCGGACTGGTGTTTTGGCTAGTGTCTCACTGCTCGGACGCGTCCGACCTCTTCCAATTGGTATTTCTTAGCATTTTAACATAATTTTAGTGGTCATGAAGTCGAAACGTTTAAAAGTAGTTTGCACACTAACCTCTGAAAAGCTGACCAGCTTTGCACGGCTCTTATCACGTAATGTCCATAAAAAAGACAAATGAATATAAGGTATAAAAACAGCCCTTTAAGTATTACACAAAACTATATACAGAAGCATATAGCTGTCAAAGATATCATTGCTATATCTACAAGTGGGTAGCCCACACGAAAGCGATAAGCAGATATCTAGAACAGAGACAGGTCTAACACCATTATCACTCTTCATGAACTCTGTAAGCTAAAAATATGATTCTTTCCCTTCATGTTTCTTCAAGTATCTTGTAAGTAAAAAAAAATTGTTCAAAAGCAACACCTGAAGCAGTTAAAAGTGCGGTTCAGTGTTCTTACAACAGTATTTGGCTTTTGAATTTTAATCACATCTGTTATTTTGCTCGTGGTCCAGCAGCAAGGTACTGTTTATTAGTTACCATGGTAGTGACTCAATCAAGTTAGACAAAGAAAAGTCATAGAAGAAAACAACAACGCCACAGCCGAGTTAGTAAAATTTTACGATTGTTATACCTTCTGATTAAAGAGTACTTTGTGAATCATTATTGATGTATAAAAACGTTAACCATTGAGAATAGACCCTGAAAGTTTTGTACTCATTGAATCGAATATTCAAAAGATATTAATTTTATTAAGTTTTGCATAATCGTACCGCATTGCACACTTTCTCAAACTCACCTACAGCTCGCATCACACATGCTACACTCAAACTGGTGTTCGCATCAGATACGAGTGACTTGAAGCAAGAAACTGTAGATTTAATTATGTTCAGGGTCAAAATCGCTACGGTTTTTATTTCATTAAATAAACGCTTTCAACTCGCCTGCTGCTCAAATCACACGTGATTCATGGCATGCGCACGTTATACTGACGTCACAACAGTACAAATTGCAACATTAAGCGTCCTTTATGTGTCGTCATTTTAGTGCCGACTGGC